TTCCATAAATAATTATCGAGGGCTGCCGTAGATTCTGAATATATACAGCAGTCGTTCATGAAGGAGATCGTATGAATGTGTACAACCTTAATAATCGCTCTGTTGCTGTATGGACAGCAGACTGCACATGTATCAGGTCCCATGCATATGCAGTCCACATCAATGGTGACGGCTCTCTTCGGTTTCGAAATGTATGTCTCGGACAAGTGATGAAAGTCACCAATTTTGACAGGGGACAGATTGGGCTCAACTCCTCGCCGCATGGATCAGTAGGAAATTCTGGAGAAGAATTTGAACCAGTGGACGCGTTCTCAGCTGTTGTTTTTACTAGACAGTGGTTTGGACTCTGTTTGGACATCAGAGATTCAGCATTTTAGATTACAGCGTGGAGCTGTTCTGTACGCACGGGATCAGGTCTCACACAAGAGAGCCTCAGAGCACTCACGGGCAGCAGGATTTCAGGCTCCAGCGATTTCTTAGTAAGTACATGCACACATTCGCATATGGAGGTGGTTCAAGCAACTGCTGGTGAATGAATACACACTTTCCTGATTTGATGCACAAGTACGAGTAACGTTTTACGAGGTTCGAGGTTCTTCATTTGTTCATCAGTTCACAGTGGTATTATTTCTGTCACATGATTATGTTCTAGCCAAGATTTCCAGGCCTAGACAGAATCATAAAAGGCTCTGCATGCGCCTCGTTCAGTTGATAATCACCAGAGAGTACCGCAAGAACCGTACATAAAGATCGATGACAGAAAGCTGAAATAGCAGCAGATCAAGTACGATCTCATGATATTTATCCACTGCCAGTGCAGTGGCTCACACTCTCGCAAGCTTCTTTATTGCGGTCTTGACCCTCGTAGCCAGCTGGAAGGTCTCAGTATACGTATAGTACAGAACCATCGCCCGTATATCAGACTACCTGTAAGAAGACCCTCATTTTCGAGGATTTCCATCGCATGATGATTGCATCAATCATGTCCAGCTCTCTTAATCAACCCTAATCTTCAGGTATGGGCTACTTCCAAGAGCAATAGAATGGAAGAAAATGTGCATCTAGAAATGTTTTCAACCAGCTCGTGTTGGAACCCATTGTTCTTCTGCACAGGTGAAGTATGCTGTGAAAACAGGACCTCATTTGCAATCATCTGGCTCTGCGCAGAACTGTAATATCAGGGCAGTCCCTTCATACTTCCGACGCACTTGACATTGGTCATTGCTCCGAGCTTCCGCTAGATTGTTAATAAAGGAAACCATGAGTGGTCGAAGTTGGTCGAAGTGCCTAAACATCTATAGTTTCAGCACGTGCTCGTCCTTGCAGTAGTTGCTCACTGAAATCTGTACATTTGACAAGCCTTGCAACCTGGAGTACCCTTGAAGCACCAGATGTAGTCAAAGAGCTCGAGATTGCCATGACGAGCCAATCCCATCTACCAACTCTATCTGAGCCCGGCCGTTCTCATCGCGCTTTTCTTTACTCGATCTGAGTTGGCCTTATAAGCTCCTGGTTAGAAATTGGAGGCATTCTAGTCATATAAGCTTAGAAATCAGGATCTTACCTTGAAAAAATAATTCCAGGGCTAGATGGTGTTGGATCCACCTCCCGAACATGCGGTCACTCTCAATCTCATTCCTCTTCGGTACGATGTCCAGGCTGCTAGCTTACATGAAAGGACGAGGTCGGAGCGGGGGCTGGGTGAGCTTGAGCGCACTGCTTGAGCCCGAAAGAAACTCCGCCATCTCCTCTTCGGACCAACCTTCTGTAGCGAACAATTCTGTTCGCTACAGTAGGAAAGAAGAAGATTTCGTGTCCGTTCACATCTTCATGGCCGATCGTCGTTGCTCGATAGAAATCGTCAAGCGTCCTTCTTTGCGTTGCGTTCAGTGATCACGCCACAGCAGCTTTTCGTTGTTTCGTGGGTTTGCTTGCATCCATGGCCTGCATTCTCAGAACCTCTTCTGGTAGATCTTGGCCTCACCTGTTCTCGAATGTGATCAGCGAGCGAGGTCGAAAGAGAAGCCCTTGTCTTGTTGCTTGGCCAGACGTGGAAATTCTAATGTCCTGAAAACGAGGAACATTCTGCGCGAGAGTTTTATTTTCTCCTTGTCGTGAAAATAAAACTCTCGCGCTCGTGCTCACCGGTCGCTTGCTCGCTAAACCTTTCGAATTCCCTCAAGCGTTTGTCGTCCTCGTGCTGATCATTGATATCGCGGCTTTTTATGGCCGAGACCTCGCTTCTTGAGCATAAATTAGCTGCAACATGACACTTCCTTACAGATAGTCAGAGCACTCGATTCCAGGTCGGAGATGGCTCTCCCCCCTTAGAATTGCATCACCTTCTTCAGGAAGAATTCCTGACCTCGGAGAAGCGAGATAAAGACGAAGATGAAGAGAAATGCAGATGGAGAGCCAGCAAGCTCAGAGCTAGAGAATTGACTCCAGATACCAGCGTTCTCGTCGTGGAAAGATGCGTACGGGACTGAGATCACAAACTTACCAGCAGCAGCTGTACTGCATTGTGCATTATGCAGCAATTCCAACATTTCTGTGAATGATACGGAAGCTCAATCATACAGAGCCAGGCATCCTTTCGGCCCTCACGCATGGGACTTTCTCGTCAAGCGCAGAATCTGCGCAAAGCTCTGCCAGAACAAACAAGAACGAGCTAATGAACTTAGGGTCCGGGTGGATCTGCACGAGCTGTCGATCTTACGACGTGTACAGTCGACTTCTGAGCCGGTTGAGTACAGTGCAAAGAGTGGCAGGAAATCACGCTGAGCTTCCCACAGCAGCAGAAATTATGATCGTCGTCGGTCGTCGGCCATGTATGAGATGTAGCGAGGCGATGGCACATGCTCAAAGTGGCAACGGGGCTGGTCTGTCGAGAAGTGGGAAATAGACCACTTGAAGACAAGTGAATAGAATGGAATAATTGGAAAATTGACGAACTGGAGGAGGAAGAGGAGGAGGAGGAAGAAGAAATACCAGGCCCGGGAGAGAATAATTGGATCGATTGTAGGCAGGCCATTTGTGACGAGGACAACTGCAGATCGGAGCTCCTGTTACCATTCGAATCTTATATCTCTCTCCTTAAGCCGCGCTTTCGCAGGAATGGAACAAAGGCTCCTTCGAGGCCCTCTCAGGTCAGGATTGCGGTTTCTATGATGATGATGATGATGATGTTACGTGACGCAAGATTTCAAGCCCTTTGCTGCCACTTCCATTAGGTCGGCTTTTCACCCGACCGCGCTAGATCCTACATGCCGATCATGTGTATCAAATCCAATATCTCTCTCTCTCTCTCTCTGTAACCAAGCATTGGCGAAACCCCCGGAGTTACTCCCCAACCCTGTGGCCTCCGATGCTTGGGTTAAAAAATCCAAACGCTGATTGCGCTAAGACGAGAGCGGAATTGGAAGAGGCATCATGCGCTATAGATTCATACGCTCTTCATCACTTGTAACACAGTCCATCAGCAGGTGGCAGGTGTTGGCATCGGTATCGGCAGTGGCCCGCTGGATGGAGAGGACCAATTTTGGGCTTTGGTGGAAGAAGCCCAGACCTGGGTTCGTGCCTCAAGCCATGCGGCTGCATATGGCTTCCTTCGGAACGCGATCCTGATTCCTGATTCTATCGTTCTCCATCGGGCACGTGACTTCTGCAAGATTAAAGCCAAGTCTTTGTGGTCGAACAAGGACTGCGTTATGGCGTGATTGCATTCTGCTCGAGCTCGATCGCAATTGCGACATCGGCAATCTTGCACTACACGACTCAGAAATAATTTTGACTTGGTATCGAGGCATGAGATTAGATCCACCGGATTTTCCATCTGACCATGTAATGTCCGCCATGTCAGACCACTACTACAACCCCCAGCATGCGTACATGCGATTGACGATTCCAAATTACAGCTCTCAGATCCAATAGGCGAAAGAGAGAAAACAAAATAAAAGGCATTAAAGGAAGAGTCCGATGTGCGAGGAAGGAATCGATCATCGCTGGGCTGGGGTGCTATACTGCTACCATATACATGTAGTAGTTGCTGCCGATTCCAGATGCGTACGAGATCAATTTCACTGACGAGAAAGATTACAGCAGTAAAACTCGCGACTGCCACACAGACGTCGTGGACAGTAATTATGCGAGACTATATATAGGGCATTCAAGAACACCGCCTCAGTTCAGAGAATGATTGTCGAGCTCATATCCAGACATCTGACACTGTCTAGACCTGATAGAAATGTAAGCTCCTTTTATGCAATAATCAAACACAAGACAATCATTCTTCACACGAAGAGCTACCAGAGGTTGGATTTATCTGAGTGGGTAATCATAAGCTATTGTTGTCGACTTGAGGATTGGCGGTTCCCGACATAGCACTCGAAGACGCCTCTACGCCAAAACCTAGCTTGTGATCATGACATCCTGATTCCTAAGATGTGAGCTCCGGTGGCAACTGGGTTCCTTCTAGAATACATTCGCAAGGCACACTCGAAGGTTCCACAGGAGACGGTGCAAGGGCTAAACTACTTCTGGGCCCGGGATGGTAGACTACACTAGCTCCCATCACCACAACTTAGATCGATCGGGTCGACACCTCAGTCACCATCACCAGACTACTCATTCGCAGATTGTGATTTACAAGCCAATTTGAGAGAGAGAGAGATGAGGATCCTAGTTTCTAGGACACTCATCTCTCATGTCCTAGAAACTAGGATCCTCATCTGTAAATACTCATCACGCAAAAGCTGACGGCAAGGAGAATTCTGATACTGCTCTTCTAGAGCCGAAGAGTAGTATGTCCCTTGGGATGAACCGGATCGAGGATCTCTCAGCGACCCACACCACAGAAAGGAAATAAACACGAGGAAACGAAAAACGCGCAGTAGGTGAGATCTGGACAATAAAAATGATCGATCGATCGATCGACTGCCAAAGAAACCAGTCGTTACAATGATCACCACATTCAGAAATTTAGCATCGGGCGTACCCCGGGAAAATTCAAACGCTGTGCACACTTCGCTAGCCAGGTTTGCGAGATTCAAATGCAACTTACGACCATTTTATTTCCCCACCTTCATCACATGCTATATTACACGATACAAATCAGTTTCTAAAGCTGACTACATTGACCTGTACAACACTGTTGTCTAGTTTACAAGCACGAATCGAGATGATCTTGCAGGTTCCAGAAATCTTGCTGCTGCTGGTGGCTAGCCGGAGCTGCTGACTAGAATGGATATGGACAGTTGTATAAGCAAAAGTATATCGATGTACCACTCGAATAGGTTTATAGCTTAATAGTAACTTTCACTTCTCGTATCGCGTACATTGCCAGATGGAAGCCCCCAACAAGATTTTGGACCGCCAGCCGAGCAGCAGGCGATTTTGTTCCTCCTCCACTTTGTAGCCGTCGCTGAACAAGCCCAGCAGCAGCTTCGCTTGACACAGGTTGTAGACACTGAGGGGCACGGGGTGGAATCCCTCGGTCTGGGCGAGAGAATGCCAGTGCACGCCGCCATCGCCCTCACACAGGCCGCCGGAGCTGCTCGAGGCGCCCGCAGGATTGCTGTCTGTGTTGCTGGACGTCATGAGGCCGGTGATGCGCGGAGCGAGGAAGATGCGCTCCACGAGCTGGCGGCCTTTGCTCTCAGACGACAGGCTGGCCTCGAGCGAGTCGAAGATGGCCGAGTAGTGGTGCAGGGCCTCGAAGAAGTGACTGACGAAGGTCGAGGAGCTGCAGCTGAGCTCCTCCTCCACGAGCGTGAGCACCTTGGGCGACAGGCGGTGCACGGCCCGGAGGAACGAGGTGACGGCCTTTTTGGATCGGTGCGGCATGTGAGGGAGGTGCACCATGCAGTTCACGGCCAGGCATTCGCCCTTGACCTGCTTCAGAAGCGTGGGGCGCAGCTCATCCTCGTTGTCGATTCGCACTTGATGGAACGAGAAGGGAATATTGAATGTGGCTGCGAACTCGGTGAGGCGCTTGCCCGTCTCCTGCGTCACGGCCAGAGCGCGCTTGACGTGCGGGCGACACAGAGCCGTGACGCGCAGGTGCGGAGGCCCGCCCGTGCGGCACGCGAGGGCTTGCATCAGCGACGGCCATTGAATGCCTTCGAGAATGTCGTAGTCGATGATGTGCACGCGGCGCTCGCCCTCGAAGGCCTCGAGAATGGCCTGGTTCGCGGTGAAGTGGCCGAATTTGATGTAGGGCGACACCTCGTGCAGCACCTGGAACGCACTGAGCGAGTCGTTCTGCGACTCGGCCACGCGGTCGGGCCCGCGCACGCCCTCGATGCGGAACTGGAGGCCCTCGCAGAAATAGGCCGCCACTCGCTGCATGGTGCTGCCACTGCGCGACACCAGGTCCTTGAGCCGAACCAATATCACCGTGGCCAGATCGATGTTCGTGCTCGCCACCGCCTCGGCCCCGGCCAGCAGCAGATGCACCAGGCGTATCCCGTTCAAGTCCTCCTCCGATCGGATGCCCAGCTGCGGCACCACGCGCGGCTGGAATCCGCTCGCGTGCGCCGTGTGGCAATTCTGGAACGAGATTTCCGACGACAAATGCTGGTAGAAGAAATCGTTGCTGCTCCCCGCTGCCTCTCCTGCTCTCATCCACTGCCCTTGCGCTTGCCCTCCCAGCTTCCCGACCCCGACCTCGAAGCCCACGCTCGATGGCCTCGGCCCCTCGGCCAGCGTTTCCTCTTGCTGCTGCTGCTGCTGCTGCTGGGCGAGTGGGGGAGGGGAATCGACGAAATGGCCCGACGAAATGTCTGCACGGGGAGGGCTGGCGCCGGCGGTGGAATCTGGGAAATCCAGGACGTTGATGGGGCTGGAGTAGGCATCACGATGCGACGAGAGGCACTGGCGGGACGAGGGGCTCCATGCGTACTCGGGGTCCACGGACAGGCCGACGTCGGAGCCATGAAGGAGCACGGACTCCATGAACGAGCTCAGGTCGTGGTGCAGGACGAAATGTTCCTGACTGGTGACGGAGGTGGTGTCGCTGCCCACGACCATGTCGGTCGGCGAGAAGGCACCACCTGCTCGAGGATCGTCCAGGTCCTCGGATTCGAAACTTTGCAAAGATGAAGTGCAGCTTCGGGCTCGCTGCAGTTCGGAGAGAGGGGAGCAAAGGCTGGCGCTGGCGCTGGCGGCCTTGAACTGGTCGCTGTAAACCCCACCGCGATGCGGCGGGTTGCAGTTGTCGTAGGACAGCGACGAATCGCTGCCCGTGCTCACCTGCGAGCTCGATCGGCTGAGACTCGGCGAGCAAATCGCGAACACTGAGACCTGTCCCTGCAAAGCCCTGGCATCTTTAATTTCCCACGATCCTCCGCCGCCCGCCTGCTGGCCGCCGTAGTACACAACATTCGCAGGCGGCTCGTTGAACATGTAATCTTCGAGCTGAATTTGCTGATCCAGCAACATCGCTGACTCGAACATGCGCATGTCCACTTCCATTGCACTGCAATTCAATTGGACTCTCACTCCTACTGCGCCGATGAGCTTCAGTATCTCTGTGCCAACAGTCCCCGGTTGAAGCAGGCGAAGGTTTGAGTGACGTCGACACTCATAAGATAAACCGATAACGATATTTATCGAGTATACGCAGACCTGAGAACATGCGTCTGATTCAGAAGCTGCTGCTGAGATGCTCCAGCTGCAAACCCGCCTCTGTGCATTGAGAACTGAATTGGCCAAATCCTTCGAACCTGTTCGTGGCCAACGATCATCCAGTGAGTTGGACTTCAAGCAGGCTCCTCCTGATCATAGTTCACACTTGCCTGGAACCTCCGGCTGGGCATGAACAGACGATGGTCAAATCCATCATGATCTCCAAAGCCGCTCCCACTGTTGGAAAGCCGGGGATTTCTTCCCGCTTGCCAGAAACCCAGAAACCCAGCCTGCCAGCAAGCAAGCAAGCGACCACCTGGGAACCAATCGCAAACTCCAGCTGACTGAGCCTCAGACAAAATTCTTCGTCTGGCACCTAGATTGTGGGGGTTAGCGAGGGAGTGAATAAGAGAGTGGTCCAGTGAGTGTCCTGATTAAGGAGGTTCGCTCGTCCCTTAGGTCCACCAAAATGGATCAAATTTTCTGCTGAAGCTGCCTTAGTATCCAAAGATTTGTGGAGCTACTGAGGACGGCGCTGGTCTTCCTTGCCTTCTGATGCAGCTGCGGTGTGCTGCTGCATCAGGCATGAAGAAAAATGAGTGCCGATGAGGTCCGATGATCCGACAACTCGAGCCAAAACAAAGAGAGCGAGGTGAGGTGCTCACAGCGTACAACAGATAGTAGCTAGCTGCTGGCCGAGATCATTAAACCGCTTGCTCAGATTTCTACTATCCCTAATTTCTACTCTTACTCCCTAAATTCCCAGCACCTCAGACACAGCACACGCCACAACGGGATCTTCCCCAACAAGCGTAGGAGAACTCCAGGAACCGTAGCTTGCTGAGCACGAGAGAGTCCAGAACCTGACCTTCACCGAAATGGTGGTAAGAACCACACGACGACGACAGAAAGGGCGGAGGAGGAGTGTAAAGTGAGACGGGGGGAGAGGAAAACTTGGCTCAATGAAGGGCTCAGATCACTGGTCACAGGCTCGCTCGCACAGAATTGTTTCAGCTCGATTCCCGAGACCAACAATTGCCGAGGCCTAGCTTCAGTTCAGTAGTATAGCTTCAGCTCTCGCTGCTCTCTTCTCGTTCTTCTACTGCTGCTCCTCGCTCGCCCTTCTCTTCTACCTCTCGCCCTCCGGTCCCCCTCCCCTCCCCCCTACCCATCCCATCCGTCCCCCACCATTCGGGCCCATCAAGCTACGACTGAACAGCAAAACCGGGAGCTGGGCCCCTCGTCGATGCAAGCGGGCATAAAAAATACACAGAATATTCACAAGGACAGCATGGGGGAAATATACACTCCCCACTCCAACTCCTCCTTCGTCAGCCCCAGGCCCCAGGCCCCAGGACCCATGCCCCAGGCCTCGTCCCCCCTCCTTGGCTCGCCTCGCCTCGCCTCGCCGTGCATTCGCTTAGGAACGTGCAGCGGATGCCAGCGGAGCCTCCACAAGGAATCGGTCCTACCCTTCGATGAGGGAACACACCCCCGCCCCCAACTCCGGTTCCCATTAAGCACCGTCCCTCCATCGGCCCCCGCCCGGGACAGTGGCAGATGTACCCGCATTTGCGGCGGGCGGAACTTCCGGCCGGTCGCCTCAAATTCCCGTCTTCCGTCTCCCAGCCACGTCAGCCCCCGGCCTCGCGACCACCAACGAACAACCAACCTCGTCGGCCTGCCCTTGCCCGTGCCCGTGCCCCTGCCCGAACCTTAAAGTTCCTTCCCGCGCATGCATGCCTTCGCAGGGACTCGTCTCAGAGAGTCCTCCCCTCCCTCTTTTTGACCTCCAAGCCCTTTTGCATGTTGTAGGCATGTCCCCCTCGTCGGAGCCCCTAGCGCTTTGCGGTTACCAGACGACGAGCCCCGTCCTTAATCATTGCTGCCTCGATTTGACTTGGATTTGCTTTTCCTGTGCGCTGATTCTCCCGAGTCCCCACTAAAAGCAAAGCGCTCGCCAGTGCTCATCATGTTATTAGAAACGCCCGCTCTCATAACACAGTCGGTCGTTCCTTCCCAAGGGCAGGCAGGGCCTTCTTCTTCTTCTTCTTCCTCATGCACTGCACTGTCTGGGACGGGGTGCTTCCAATTTTCCTTTTACTTTCCCGATTTCCAAACCTGGAGGCTGCGCATATTCGTTCGAAACGCACGTCCACCCTTGTCGGTGCGATTACTTGCTTTCGGGTCATTAATCGACGGACGAACTGTGCTTAACACTCGATGCCGCGCGTTGCCTCAGCGGCCAGCGCGGCAATAAGATAATCGGAAGATTTGGGACTAATTTCTCGTACGCGAAAGCGAGCACCTTTCCCTTTGCCTTTGCTGCCTCTCGGGCTCTCGGCCTCTCTGCTCCAGAATCTGCATAATTATTGTTCTTAAGCCGGCTTTAGGAGACTCTTGGTGTGCTTCTGTGGGGTTTGTGCAAGTTTAATTTATGCGTTGGACGGCTTGTCCCCCTTGTCGGAGTACTCAGGCCACTGACGTCAGTCGCTGACGATCGAGCCTTGAACACAGCGTCATCCGCATCGAGCTCTTTTCCGCATTTAGCATCCACCCGTAAACAGTACATGTGCCCCTGTGCAGTTTTCGAGGCTCGTCAAAGTCTTATGATAAATTAAAAATGCTTCTGATCAAATGTTGATTTGTGTTTCAATCGGCTATTGACTGCCCCTCGGGGTGGCTCTATGCCGGCGAGGCACGTGTCGCCCTGTGGCAGCACCAGAAAGCGTCCACGAGATTGGTTCCGGCGGTCTTCCTCGGGCTCGGGCAAACAATTCTCCGCTACCCAAAGCTTAACGATCGCTGTCGATTGCAGTCCTGACTCGTGATGATCCGAAGAATAAGCCCTGCGCATCAACGACGTTAGTGGTCGCTGGAATTTGCTCCGAACGTGGCCCGCGCAGAGATGAGTCCATCTCTTCATCGAAGATCTACTGGGGTCCTTAATTTTTCAGTGCAATGTGCGAAAACAATTGAAAGAAGCAACGAAGGTCCTTGAAACACCAGCACCAAATCACTTACTCGGTGCTCATGGCTCTGCTTTCCTTTATAGAGGGCAAAGGAGTGCGCCAGCCTCTTTTGCAAGACCTGCATGGGGTTTGGAATGGTGATCCTTGTAAGTTGGGTCGAACGACGGACGTGATTGAAATGGTTAAATCGAGGCCCACAATTTGGAAGCTCACTCGATTCTTCTCGAGCTTTTGGTGGTGGTGGTGGTGGTGTAATTCCTCCGATGTTGTGGAAGTCCTTGCATATCCCAGATTCTTCGACTATTGTTCCACCTGAGAAGTGCGTGAAGGACACGCTTTTAGTGACTTCGTGTCGTGGGGAACCAAAATTGAACAGATGGCGAGTTAGACCTTACAACTTCCTATGTTTTCTGGCGTCTTCGTCGGCCTCGTGAAGAAGTTTTCGGGAGGTTCAAAGAGAGCTGTTGCGACTGAGCGAAAACTCTAGGCTTACGAGATGGATTAGTTTAGCCCTTTCCGATCTCGAAGCGGAGCATGACAAACTAACCGAGTTCGAGACAACCGAACCTCTGAGTCTCAGCTGAGTCCACTGGAAGTGCAGGGGAAGTGGTCAATTGCTTGACTCCGAGCACGATAAGATTGTTTTCCGTTCCCCAAACCCAATGAATGGAGCCACTCCGAATTCCTCCATATTTGTCTCATTTCCTGTGTAATGGACTTCGACTTTTTATATATTCTCGTCCTTTTGACTGCCTATGCGATGAGAAGTGATAAGGTTACTCCCAGGATAAGGTTGTCAGCTGCTACAGGTCAGATTCAGATTGGTTCAATTTTCAAAGCTTGACATTGTTCCTGCGATTGCTAGATTCATTTCTTTTCTGGTCCGCATCCTTTCATTACAGGAACAGGGGAGAAGATAAAAGCAAGCCTTCTTATGTAGGCCTGAAGTGTGCACCACGCTCGTAGCTCGGAGGTGATCGGTCTAAATTGTGTGCAAATAGCATCTGTGCAAATAGGGGTTGCTACCTGTGAGAAAATTGACGAAGTTGTTTGTCCGAGCCATGTAGCATGGACGATGGACCACATGTAACTTGCACCTGGAACGATGGACGACCACATGAACAAGCAGTTTCCTTGCAGGCACACTGCAGAAAAATCGATCCCATGTTGCACATACTTGTCGGCTCCACCTTCTGCGCACTCTGTAATCCTACCATCTCCGTGCGCCATTCGTTCATTCGGCGTATTCTGCTTGGATCGATCTCGGTAGAACATGTTGTGACGACATCTGGTCATCGACCGCATTTTCCTCGAAAGGTCTTGATTCGATCTCATAGACCTAGAGTTCTGATGGATCCCTCAATAATCGTCTCAGTTCTAGAATGTGCTCGATCTGCCCTTCTATTAGGTGCCTCATATCAAGCTCTTGGCAAGGACTTATAAAATGAACGTGCAATCTGGAAGAGAGATACACTCGAGACGAAATCAATCCAAATATGTATCAATGACACAAAGTTTGAACTTATGGAAGTTGGATCGGTTTTTACATCGTATTTGGAATTTCAAGCACTTTTCAAATGGTTGAAAGTAAGCCATTTATAAATATGTTTGAATCAGATGCGAAAGATCATATAGATCTTCGCATAACTTCTTATATTACTATCTAGATATGATGAGTAATTTAGCAAGAAGGATGGGAAGACCCCATCAAGCCCGAATAGAGGTGAAATCAGACCAGATACATTGGGCTCGGCCACATGACATCATAATGAAAAATGTTCACATAGTACCTAAGATACAAAGACTATCCTAGTCAACGAATTGGAGCATTTGAAAGAACGTCATGTAACGTGATTCTTCTCATATGGATAACATTATCTACATAAACACTACATATACATCTCCTAGTATAAGTTTTCAAATCAGTTTAACATAGTGATATCTCTTAACCTTGGTTGGGTTTATTCTCTCGTCTAATAGATAAAGAATGGTATATATATATATATATATATATTTAGTAAGCGTTTAGTTATTTCTCAGTTTATGTTAAATGTCCCTCACATGCGTGGATCCAGGTAAGTTTAGCGATCCCTAGCATGGCTGCCTGAAATTATCACGGTGGTGAGATGCATGTGAGCGAGGATTGACGGCCCGAGCATCCTTGCCGTGGAGCGCTCTCCCACTCCTTGCTTTGCGATGAGAAGACGAAGTAGGAGGAAGTGACGTAAGGGGAAGGATAATTAGCATAAAGTGAGGGATAACTCGACTTTCACTTTATTTATTGTGTAACTCTAATGAAACAAAGAGTTCACTTTTCAGTATCATTATAGACTTAGAGACAGTGGGTGCTGTCATTTCATTTCATTCCGTGATCAACAACTTCGAAATTGTATGAAGTGTATGATTTTTTGCCATCACTTCTTTAATTGTAACTTAGTACTGGGAGGAGAGAGAGTTATGTGCACATTCTTCCCATGTTCCTTGCAGTGAATCTGAAACAGTGACCAATCAGTTTCTGAAGGTTACTTATCGTATATTTTTCATCTCCATTTTATTCGTTAAACATATTTTATAGATATGGTAAAACAAGCTGTACAGTTTTTTTTGCGCGAGGACTTTAAAACAACCAACGAGTTTTCTTATAGTTGCGATGTGAAGGTGAGCAACTTCAAGAAGAAGTGGACTTGGGGGAAAAAGTTGAAAAGCAATCTCAGGGTGGTGAAAGTCGCAACCTAAAGACTTTCATAAATTCATTCTCTAATACTCATGAAAACGAGCATACTTAATACCCATCTATCATAATCTCAATGTGTACTCACACCTCACTTCTTAGACAAGAAGAGGTATGCAAAATTTTTGTGGATCTCTGAGTAATAGTTGCATTGTTGCCGACGGCGACTGACACAAAATTTGGAAGGATAGCACTCGAAACTCCAAAATTGGAAGTAGTAACACACGAAGCAAGAGATTGAAAGTAAGAAACATCGAAGCTAGAAATTTGAAAGTAATATAAGAGAGTGACAATGTCTCAAGACTTTATTTATATTGTGATTACATTACTGAGAAACTCTAAGGTTAGAAAGTTGGCACCGCCTCCAAAGTTGGTAAAAATTGGCTACTGTATGTCACTTTCGCATGGTCACTACTACTGCCACGTCTTTGACATTAATCTCCCTTCAAGCAACGAGTTTTCAAAATTTATTCTATTTATTTTATCAAAAATAGAAGCTGAAATTATATTACAAGAAGTTCATGTGATAGTCACATGGTTACATATGCTTTGGTGTTGATATTGGCCTAGACAAGTTAGAATCAAATATCCTCAACACTGGATTTTGTAGAGTATTAACGATGAAGTTTTTTAATCATTTTGGAAGCATTAGCAAAATTAGCAAAAAGTTTTTAAAAGCTTTGGCTTGCTTCATAACTAGGATTAAATATAATATTCAGACTCCAAATTCTATGAGTTTAATATTTTATTATACAATATTATACAAATTTGAACTTGTATATTGATCCAAAGTGAGTTTAAACGCTTTATAACGCAACGATATGACTTGGAGATGCATTGATGAGACTGCGTATCCTAGACTTTCCCTCAAGCATTGCAATTTGAGCATTTTCCACCATCATTCACCACATATTATGTCAAACAAGTTGAAGTCTGCCGTCGACAACCGACCTCTGCATCCTATATGAAATCTGTTTGATTCCAACAAGTTTGCTATAGGCAATCAAAAGACCTTGAAGGTCAAATGACTGCAGGGCAATTTAGCCATCGCGGCCAAGGTCGATTGTTTGGAAGTGCATGTGATGATATGCACCAAGTGTCATAAATCTATGATTGGTTTAATGGACATTGTGTCGCAAATGCAATCCAATGATGTGAGGATTCATCTCAAGTTTTCATCATGATCAATGATTAGCGGTTTGTCAAAAAAGAAAGCAAAGTTGAATCAATAGTCGGTGAATTCTGAGCATGAGGAGGTCGTGCAGGCGATATCGTCCCACAATTCAGCAAATCTTTGTTGGACCAATCCATGAATTTTCATTGATTGTTTTTTTTTCATTGATCATGATAATCATGATCAATGAAAAATATCATTGATAAGTTCAAGATTTTCAATGATAGATACTTCGTCAATAGTTTAATATATAATAATAATAGATAGTATGTTTTAGAAGTCAATGCATGATACGACTAGTCCATTCATCTTCTTTGAACATGCAATATGGAAGAAATTCTTTACTGCGCTTTGACCTGTTTGCACTCCTCGTACTTCTCAAACTATTGACACCACTCTCTTAATATCTTCGTACGCCGATGTCATGAGCAAGGTCTTTCGTAGTGAACGGAAATATTCTTCTACATGCTTCTCTCTAGACGGTGCCACAAACATGCAAAGCTATAACTATTGAATCTAATGGCATGTATTTCAAAAACTTTCTTTCTCCAACATTTTGCGATAGAGTTGCATCAATAGACTGGTCACAATCTTTTGACCAAGTAATTTGAAGCGAAAGAGCAATTGATGATGACTTTAGTTACTACAGCTACCAATGTGGAGCAAAACCAAGATGTTTAGCTCATTCCTTCTATTACATTGACCAAAATAATGTTCTTGTTTAATTCGGATAGCCCCAATGTAATGGCTTTTATTTGCAGGAAGATGTTGAAGTTGCCAAACTTCACCATCGCATTTGGTTGTACTCCACATGGTTTGAATAATTGCACATTCGGTATTCTCAAGAACTTTGATATTTTGAAAGCAAGTGTTAATTAGGTCCTATACTTGGTGAAAACCATTTGTAGTATTTGTTTTCTCTACTCTTTCTATGACATCTTGTGTAAAGGGAAACTTGGAATGGTTTATGTGCTCATTATATTCATCAAATCTTGCTTGACCACAAGCCATTTATGTACTCTCGGCTAAACTTGGTCAAGATGGTTATTTTTCTTCTTCCTTCTGTCATATTTGTTGGTGAAATGAATATCTATATTGATGAGACTGTGAAGCAGCGCATTTTGGATATAATCTTCTAGAGTCAATCCACAATCATGGAAGTTTTTCTCCAGCCCATTTGTGCAACCATGTGGATATTTAGATTGTGATACTTCTACATTCTTCTCCATTTGAGCATGTTTCTTATTGATCAAGATTCACATTGAATCTCTCTCAAAGTAGACTCGCACAATTTTTGGTCTGCAAGAGTATTATCATATTGAGGAGCTTGTCAAGTTGCTTCATCGACGATTAGCAACGATCTATTTTGCATCCATGGCATTGGCCTTTTGTACGGATCTATGTTATCATTATTTTTGCATCAATGATATTAAGTACGGTCTGGAGTTTGTGGAGTTGGGCAAGATTTTCATGAAAGTGCAATGCCGAATGGCTCTTCACCAATTTGCAAAGAATTTGCTCGATCTAGTCGGACAGCTGATTGCTGATTTTATCAATTTCTAGCACACCGCATTGATCCGTCTGATCTGCATCTCCAACTGAAAATTATACATCCTCATCTGGTTTGAATCTAGATGAGAAATGAATTTAAATGTCTATCTCTTGTCCTCGTCCAAATTCATCAACTTTCTACGGGATCTTTTGATGGTGAGCGTAATCAAAAGACGAGCAAGCGGATGCAAATCAAAACTTGAATCAAGTTGGACAAATTCAAACTCAAAACTTAGACAGAAATATGCTACAATGCTGTGATTTTTTGTTGACAAGAGATATGTCATAGAGA